GAGGTGGCTCATGATAGGTGCAGTTTTGCCAGATGTTTTTAAAGGCAAAACTGCATGATGTCCTGGTTCTTAACTTGTTGTGGCTAGGAGGCTGGGCAGCTCCGACAAGTGGCAAGTCTAGCAAGGCACACCGACACAGAAACACCAAAGAAAATCAACAGCCTGGTCACTATCTCTGTTCACTGCCCCAACCACCTACTGGGGAAACTTGTGGTCAATTGGCTGTGCTGACAGTTAAGACTAACGGCTGTATTACAGGGATTCGGAGTATGAGAGCTTCCTAAATTGAGATTATAATTGTTGAAATCTCCCCTAGCACACCCAAAATTAACATGTACAAAATAAATGGATACATTTAATTTTTTTAAAAACCTTCTTTGTTAAAATAAGCCTTTAAAAATTAAAAAAACACTGAAATAACAGTGTATTTCGGGAAGAAATTTCTCCAGTTGCTTCCAGCACAGTTCCATGTATTTTTAATTATATGGTTGCACCCAGTCCTAGAGCTGTTCACTCAGAAGCAAGTCCTACTGGACTGATGGATTTAATGCTACGTGTTCTTTGTGCCAGATGTGGCCTTTCATCTGAAATGCCTATAGGCCTCTGGTTTATGGACTCAAGGGAAGGCAGATGATCTACCAGTCCAGTCCCTGGACAGGGAAAAAAAATGGATGCTATATTTACATAATCTGGGCTAATGCTGTAATGCCATTCGTATCTATAAAGACAGAACAAAATATTAATCCAACAATTTGGATTCCCTGACAATATTCAGTTGAGATCACTTAATAGTAACCCACAGGAACATTAAATAGAACTTCCTCAAATGCTACTTTATGAAGTAGTGGCTTCTCATGGATGTTAAAGTTGCTTTCTGCATGAAAGACATTCTTATCAGCCAGCTTATCAGATCCAGTTTTCCCACAACTGAGCAAAGCGCTCAGGCGTTCTTCTCTTCCAGCTCTTGTCACTCCCACTGTCTCCCTTTCATTCCCTGCATAGTATTTCATGCATCCTTCCTTTGGGCTCCTTCACACAACCCCCGCTGTTCCATCGATGGAGTCATGGTATCTACAGCCTTCCAGACACAAGCCTGGTACATCCAGCAAAGCTGCTGGAACAGGCAAGGTCGCAGCATCTCCTGACTTCCAGCTTAAATTCCTTAGATCACAGTGGTAGGCAGGAATGGCTGTCACCTCCTAGCAGAGGAAGGGAAGCTACTGGAGAGAGGCAGGGCTCTGGAATTTCTCACGCCCAGTCCTTTCAGAAGCCTTAGGCTGTGGTTGCCAAGTGTCTTTGTAGATGGGTAAGGAATTCCTATGATAAAGGAAGCTCATTGGATTCATGATCAACGATGCATCTCCAGGTCATGGCCTTTGTACTTGGCTCTTTTATCTCCCACACATTTTTCCTGCCTTGTTCCTCCATTTCTGCATATAACCATATATTATTTCATTCCATTTACTAATTAAAGATGTCAGCTTTATTCTCTGAGAACCAGGGCTGTGTGAACATGTAGGGAGGTGATTTCTGGGAACCAGGACTGAAAGGCGATTCATCCTAGTACTCTGATCCACCTTGATCACTTTGCCTAATACTGGCACTGCTAAGCTATTTCTGAAGCCAATAGTGAGGCTACGGATGCAGAGGAATGATGGAGGCTTCTTTAGTAATTCGCTGGTACCATCCAGAATGGTTCTGGAGATCAACAGCAGTCCCTAATCCTGATGCTTCTGAGCACTCAGTTTGCAGCACAGTGACTGACTACAACAGGATCCCTAAAGTTGTGGCTGTGGGACACAGAACCCCAGGCTGGTTTTTAATCTGCTGAGCTACAAACCGCTCTGAGACTCCGAGTGAAGGGCGGGGTATAAATCCAATCTCTTCTCTTCTTCTTCCATTTGCAGTTCAGCTGAACACTTGATGGCTGACCAGAGGTCTTTATAGGCTCCAGCTGGGCTGCACCGTTATCACTGTGGCATTATTATGTGGTCAGGTCTGGTGTCTTTCAGAGGACGGCTTGTGCCAGTCCACAAGTGACATTACGTAGTTGGCAACCCTTTCTCTTGCCTCCTACCACACTGCTGTGATGGCAGCTTTAACTCCAGCCTGGTGAAGGCACCCCTTCCTCTTGATCAGCCATTCCAAGTGAATTGCTTCGGAGCAGGTGAGTCAACGTGGTGACTGATGTGGTTCAGCATCCTGTCTCCAGCAATGGCCAGATCCAAATGATTTAGAGCTGAGATCCTCCATAGGTAACTTGTGGTACAGATGAGGCCTACTGAACCACGACACCATTATTTCATCCCTTTTTAGCTCTTTGTATCAGCTACCTGCAGCCTGTTCCTGTACAATCGTACAGGTGTGCTGGTACCATTTCTTAAACTTCTGGGATTGGGCAGCCACTGTGAGCAGCTAGGGACACAGATCAAGAGTGACAAGTCCAGAAATGGGCTGTGCTGTCCCTTACTGATCTGAGCCCAATGGGTATGAGTTCTCTATCAGAAAGGCGATGAAAACAAAACAAAAAGGTATTGAGCAGCAACTAGAGTGAACATAAAACCCATCTGATATTCCACTACAGTCTTTTATGCCACCGTATTACACTAGTGATACATAGCTGTCTGTAACTGACATTTATGTATAATTTGTACTCCATAAAGCTATTCTTCTGAAGGTAATATATACAGAAAGATACAGCTTCTCAGAAGCTCTTTCATCCTACCTTTAATAGATAAGACAGTGCCAGACCCAGCAGTGAAGACAGTGGCTGAGACTGAAGCACTTGGTGAGTGGCTGAAGAGATTTGCAGTACAAACCTAAAAAGAGTTCTACCCTTCTAACCCAATTAACTTGGTTTAGGATTGCACCATTAACAGCATTTGTTCCCTTCACTGTTCAGTTCTGGGTCCACTGCTGCCGTGAGGAAAGAGCCATTTGGTATGCATTTGGTATTCATATAACCCATAGCATAATTCCCCCCCACACCTGTGTGGAATTGACACAGCACGTTTGTAGCTACAGTGCAATCCTGTGCAGTTACTCCAGTCTAAGCCTGTTGATTTCTATAAATTTAGGATTACACTGTTAAGAGCACCTCTATCGTAGTAGTCAAGAGTCTGAATTACGAACCTGGAGAGCCACACTAGACTTTTTACCTGTGGCACAAATGCAGAAACTTCTCTCCCAGCCCCCACATCCCAATTTGGGGTTAGTAATACAACAGGTATGTTGTGAGACTGAGATAAGAGATATGAAGTACTTTGAACACTAAAACACTATATAAATCTATTACTAACATCGTTTTAGAAAATTCTGACAGTACACTATACTAATAAATGTCTGATCCAGTGTTGTCCATGTCCAGTTTTTGGCGATATGAGTAAGAGTGTGTTAGGATAAAGGCTCTCACGGTTCCCCTTTCATATCTGTCATTTAATGTATTACTGATTTGATTTTTATCCCATATGCTCTCAAGGCAGCGTACAAGATCGCCTTCCTACCCCACCATTTTTTGTCCTAATGACAACCTTGTGAAGTAGGATTATGCTGAGAGTGAGACTGGCCCCAAATGACCCAGGGACCTTCAGGGGAACAGTGAAGATTTGAACCCTCATCTCCTCAGTCCATGTCTGACACTTGAGCCACTACAGCACACTGGCACTCTCATCCACTGCCACTACTTTGGGGGTAGAATTCCACAGGGTTGCAGACAGGCGTCTGTTGGTCACAATCACCTCCTTCAGGCTCCCAGAGGTTTGCTCTTCACTTAAAGGGCCTTACTGTGATCATAGTTGAGAAGTGTTTTGATGCTGGGTTTTGACAAATCAGATACTCTTCCTGGGCTTTGGTGCTGATTTCCCTTATTTTTTGTAGCCGTGTTGCCAATTTCCCATATTCAAAGTTAGACTTGATAAGAATTCCTGGTGCTAACTCCTGCATACAAATGGTTCTCTATACACAATTCATGTTACAAAATAGATTCAAAAATGTGCTGTTAATCAGGAGAAAGAACTGATGCTTAATGTCTACTATTGTGAATTCTGGATCTGTAATAAGGATGTTTAATCAGGACAACTCAATCTGAAAATACATCTTGAGGAAGATTATTTTCGAAACAGGATATCCGGACTTTTGTAGATGTCATTGATGAATTTAGGATGTTTTATAACAACTTCCAGGTTTCAGGAAATAGTTTTTGGTATGAACCTTTGTGTTCTTAAAAGACAATTGCAATCAATGAGTGACTATCATTGTTACTACATTATGGCACATTCTTTATGATCACAACAAAAAGGACCTTTATTCGAGTTGGACTTTGTTAATTGTACTACGTTTACAATAATTTTTGAATATATCTTGTAACATGAATTGCATATAGAAGACCTTGAATGTTTTGAAAGTATTTATTTCCATATAGCATCTTTACACACTTTTCATGTAATCACTATCAATACTCCCTCTAAGCTGTGGAGTCTTGTGAGCAAAAATTCTACTCTGTGAGTCACTGGCATTCAAGTTGTGAGCGAGCCATTTGGCTGCTGCATAAATTAGTTTGCTCCGGAGCCCTCCTTCCTGAGCGAAGACAAAAATGTGTGAGTCAGTGGCTGAAAAACGGTGAGCTAGCTCACACTAACTCAGCTTAGAGGGAACACTGATCACTATTATAGTTCTCTTCATGGTTTATTTCTTTTTGCTTTTCTGTCTGTATCACGGTGGTCCAGTTTGTTTTTTACAAATGGTTCTCGACATTAATGCCAGGACCAGATCTTGGGTTTTTTGCCACTATGCTGATCCCCCATCATTCCCACTACTCTTGTGACACACCAAATACACCCTCACATTCTGGTTCTCCAGTCTGTCCTTTCTTTGAACACCTTTCCTTCACTAATGTCTAGCTTGTGGAAAGATGAGGTCATACACCCAGGTGACAACCCACTCTGTACCACCCTCCCATGAAGAAACGGAGCTCATGAAGACTCCATGGTTGCAGTAGAAGTTTCCGGTGCTTTTTAATCTCCCCTCAAAAGTGACAGTTCCTTGATGACACTTGGCCATTTGTGTGGAATGGGTCATGTATTGCTTCCAACCAGCCAATAAACACAATACCGAAGAGTCCTCTGTATTCTGTGGGTTTTTACTTGTTTGTTTCCTGCATACGGCTTGCATCCAATGCACTAGACGGTTTGGTCAAGCTACATTAATACATGCTGAGAAGTTGCCACTCCTGCCCCCTCCTTATTTAGTTTTCTTCAATGGAAATTAGAGAGGCCAGCAAACCCACCCCTTCAAACTTCACCTGCTGAATTTCTGCACAGCTTCTATAAAAGTCCTAGGAGCAGGGCTGGTGGGGGGCGCACGCGCTACAGTGGCAACTATTGTAGGAGAAGCTTCGCCTACTGAAATGACATTTCCCCTATAGGTATGGGGATTTTCCAGTCTTATACAGTTACTTGAGTTGAAGCTGGAGGCAGCTGATACTGAATGGGGGCTCCTTGCAGACACATGAGTGATGCCTTTTGGGCTCTTCTGAAGCATCTGCTTTTCCAATGAGATGGAGGAAAGTCCGGATTGGCTCATTGCTTTGGGAAAGAAGGGCACCAGGAAACACATCACACAGGGTGCCATGGTGCCTCTGGGTATCACAGGGGAGCAGGGTCACTGATCCAGATAATACATGTCATCCAAGAAGGCCTGGAGTTACTAGTCCACCACTTGCTGATACACAACTATAGGAGTGCACAACTACACAAATATAGGAGCAGTGCAAAGCAGGGAAGAAAATAATAAAACTAAATGATCCTAGAATACTTACTCAGGCTTTAGTCCTATAACCCAAATATCAGCTGCATCATTTAGCCCTCTTACCCAAATGTCACCTGGCCAGACTGAAGGTACAGAGTCCAGATAAAACAAGGCCTAGTTGGAAGGAAGGAAGGTTCGAAGGTCCAACCTGGAATGAATGGTCTTGCTTTAGTATTGCCAGTTCTGGGTACAACCCTTGAGTACAAAGCTTCCTCTGGGTCTGTGGCCTTGAAGTACCCAGGCTCATTATCTCACTTGCACCTCTGCCAGGCTGCATCTCATCCCTTATCTCTCTTGAAACAGCAAGTTACCATAACATTAATTTCCCAGAGGGGAGCCTTCAGTAACTTGACTAGGCCCCAAAGCCTGAACCAAAATTTGAAAGGCCAAGAAATAGCTAGACAAGGCCAGTTTCTTGACATCTTCCTTACAAAATGATAATACAGAAGAAGCTGTCTTGAAATTTCTAACAATTCCTTTTTCCTTTTTAAAAATATATTGTGCGTGCGTGCGCTTGCTTGCCTGGAAGTCATGGTTGACTTCTGGTGACCCCTACTGGGGGCTTGGACATTTTTCAGATAGGTGGCTTGATTAGCCTGCTTCTGCATCCTGCCTCTGGTATTCCTCGGAGGTTGCCCTTCCAAGTACTTGCCAGAGTCGGCCCTGCTTAGCTTTTGAGATCAGGCTTGCCTGGGCTATCCAGGTCAGGGCAAATATCTAACAATTCTTGACAAGGTGCTCTAATTAAATAAATAGTAGTGAGAAAAAATGTTGGTTATTCAACAGGGTAGAGTTTCTGTCTAGGACTGGGGAAACTTGCATTCATATTTTCATTCCGCCATGAAGCTTGCTGGTTGACTCTGGACTCCCTCACTCTCAGTTTAACCTATTTCTCAAGGTTGCCATAAGATATAGAGTTGCCCACAGACCTACAGAAAAATTTCCTGCCCCCTTTTAGTAAAGGGTTAAGGTGTAAAAATGGGCAGCTGAAACTTTTCAAGGCATGGAGGTAAATCACTTAATCCGGCCATTAAACCTTTATGAAAGGGAGAGGATTTTTTCTCCAGGCAGTTGGCAACCCTTTGAGTAAGGACAAAAATGGCGTCAGGCAGGAAAACCATTATTTTGTGGAAGGGTGGGGTCAAAATGTGACAGGAAGGCCAACCTGCAAATATATCCAAACGGTAAACAAGAGTCATGTGGCGCCTTAAAGGCTAACAAAATTAAAAGGCAGCTCTAATAAACAAAAACTTATACGGGAATACAACGTTGCTAGTCTTTAAAATTCCACAAGGTTCTTGCCAAGTTTTGCTCCGAAAGACTAGTAGTGTTAGACCACTCTCCTACAACCCCGAGCCGGCTAATTTCCTGCTCACTCAAATGAGAAGGGAGCCCTCACTGGAGAAGACCCTGATGCTGGGAAAGATTGAAGGTCAAAGAAGACGGGGACGGCAAAGGATGAGATGGTTAGACAGTGTCATAGATGCAACGAACATGAAACTGAGCAAATTTCAGAGGACGGCGGAAAACAGGAGGGCCTGGCGTGATCTGGTCCATGGGGTCGCGAAGAGTCGGACTCGACTGTGCGAGTGAACAACAACTACGAGTCCCAGGAGGCGCTTCCGGCCCTCGCTGGTCCCTCTCCCCTCCCGTAACTCATCCTAACGTTCTAGTTCCGCCCACTTGTTGAGCCACGTGAGACGGCGAACAGACCAATCAGCGCCTTTTGATGCTTTATGAACTGCCTGGAAAAGCTTTGCCGGATGGTTGCCGATCAATTGCTTTGGCGGTGGAGAAGGAAAAAAGGATGACTGGGAGCCAGGTGGGAAATCAATGGAGGTCCGGGGGCGAAAGGTGCTTGGCTGTCTGTGGCTGGTCGCTTCTTGTATGGTTTTTCGGTGGTGGGAAGGTGTGAATAGCTGACGAATGTGGAAGGCAAGGGGAAGCAATACGTTGCAGTGTCTTTACGGCTGCTTAATGTTGCTGGGTGTGGGCTGGATTAAGGTTTGAAGTGGCTGATAGTGGCCTGAGAGATAACCCCGGCTCAGGGAGGTTCGGCCAGGATTACTTTTGGGTCCATGAGTAATTTATAGTACGAGCGCCTTTCTTCTTGGACAGTTTTCCTGTAAATTAAGGTAAAAGATGCTCGGAAAAGAGAAACTTCCAGTGCCATCCTAAGAAGAGTCTATTCATGGGTTTAGACAGGCGTGGCTGTTCAGGCTTGCACTGCTTAGAGGTTTGACAACTCCCCCCTTGCTGTGTGTCTGTGTCTTTAAGGGCAACCTGACACTGAAGTTAAGCTGGTGGTGTGTTTCGTTTAGAAGAGAGGCAGTAGAGAGCTTGTGAAAAGCGCATTTTTTTTAAAAAAAGCATTACTTTGTTTCTTTGTGACTAGTTATGGTAAGGGGCAAAAAAAAGATGGTAGTCCTGGAGGCAGGGAAATATAGTTGCTAGAACTGGGTTGGGGGGGGGGGTTACTGCTTCCTGTCTTGCAAGTGAAGAGGTGCCTTTAAGGGGAGCAGAGAGTGAAAAGGCAGGCACAGCATCTCCTGTCACTGTGTCCTTGGCTTTCTAGGCTGCATTGTCATGTGCTAAGGCATTTTTGTGGTAGTAGTGAAATCTCTGGCACCTGTTGCTCATGTACTGTGGAATGTTCATTAACATTCTGTCAACTGCAGGTAGCCTTCAGCAGTCCACTGTTAGTGATAGCCCTGCTTTTTCAGCTGAAATGAGGTCATAGATGAGGGAAAATGGAGGCTAAGAGGCAAGATGAGCTGTGTGATTAAAGTTGGGAAACTGCATGGGGTACATTGTGCGGGGAAGTCTTTGATAAGAGGACAGGTCATGGAAAGGGGGGCCAGGGGGTTGCCTCAAAATCATCTGGCTGAGAGGCAGAACAAGAGAAGGAAGGAGAGGTCTTTGCTGATAATGTACTGAGAAACGAGAACCTGAAGTAGGATGACGGTAGAGGAGCTGAGGTATGGAGGGGTCAATGAAAAGTTGTGAAAGTGGGACAAACCTTGCAGGGCCTCAAGATACTGAATGCCCATTGAAGGAATGGGTGAGAAATACAGGAAGTGAGGCAGGCAAAGAGCCCTCTTGGTAAAGGAAAGTGAAATGGAGAGGGCTGAGGGAATGCCCTGAAGAAGAAAAAAACAGACCTGAGGGGAAAAGAAGAATGGAGCAGCCAGGGAGAAAATGGAGGCAAACCCTCACAAAGGCCTGGGGACCAGGGAGGGTTGCAAGTGAGATACTGGAATTCTTTGGGGCCGGGAAGTCAAAGTGGGGATAGGGAGTAAGTATGCGAAGGCCCTTCTCAACTCTCTCACTGATGTATTCCTATAGAAATAATTTTAAAGCCTTCTGTAAGGTGCAGCCTCACTATGGTGGAGGAAACTATGCCTATGATCTCCTTTCTGTGCAATCTTTGCTCGTCCATTCTGTTCCCATCAGCTGCCTGAGGAGATCCTCTTCCTGACACTCAACCGGGGCCCTTTAGGCCTGGAAAGCCCTCTCTGGGATGCTTATGTGGTGTTGCCGCCCCTTTCTCCCGCCCTGAAAACCTTTACCAAAAACCATTTCTTCCATGTAGCCTTTTGGCCTAACTTCTCCTTCCCTACCAAGGCATATGTCATTTTATTTGTTTCCAGCATTTTTCTCTCTAGTTCTGCCAACATTTAGGTTGTGTGTGTGGATAAAGCTATGGCTCAGTAAGCTGCTTTGGGCCTTGAGCAGGCTCTTTGCTTATATTATTCCACTAAACCATCATATGCATTAACTGTGCTATATAAATAACTTTTTTGAGGTACAAGCCTGCCCAATAGATAAGAGAGGCCCTGCCCTGCACACCGTTGTTGTCTTATATGAGATAGATGGCCCTAAGGGATCTGCCTTTCTGGTGGTGCCTCAAGTGTGGATTGCTCTATTCACAGCCCCATTTGGCTGACGTGAGCTTTTAGGCTCCATTCACTCACTGGCACCAAGCCACCCTTTGCCATAACAGGCAGAAACATTGCTTATTTCTTGAATTTGTGTGCATGCCCCCATCCCTACTTACGCCCAGTGAGATTAAAGGTTCCTGCTTTGAACTGAATTCCAGTTCCATGAAGGGGCTTAGGGTAGTCAGTGTTTATACCCTACAAGCCAGGATTTTAAATTCCACTTTAATTCTGGTTTCAAGTTCCAATTTGTGGGAGCGTAAATGAACTTGGATTCATTTGGTTACCTGTGTTGGTACATCAGGGGGAACAAGAGCTGATTCAAACCAGGGCTCCTTAACTGCACTCCACACAAGAAGGGTGAAATTTGCAGGTACAAGAAATGGTGAATATTCTTGTCATTGTGTGACTTGGCGTGAAGTCTGAATGAAACCCAGGTTTTTGGCACCAGCTTAAGCCTTTTTTCATTTATTTAACTTTCTGATGTAGAATTCTTGTCCTGTCTCTTAACCATCTTGGCTTTTAAATTTTTAGATGCTGTTTGTTTTCATATCCTTTCAAAATGGCTTATTTATTTTTAATACCTTGCTTTCTTAAATTGGTGTGCTGCTGCCCTTACATGTGTATATTTGTATTGATGCTGTTAGGCATCCTGTTGTAGTGCCAGTATTTTAAAAAAATTGTGTTTAATGACTTTTTTTGTGATTCCTTTAGAGAGATTTCAGCTTGAGAGTACATCCTAAAAACGAGTTAACAAAATAAAATAGGGCCTTGCTGTCTTGGGGCCTAGACCTAGAAGCATTAAAAAGGGCAATGTAGGTTTTGGGCCCTAACATGCAGTGCTGATGAAGAGAAGGCAGCTGATTTCCCCCTTCCCCACAAATTGATTCCTATTAAGTAGCCAATGCCCTGATCTTGTCAGATCTCACAACTAAGCAGGGTTGATCCTGGTAAGTACTTGGATGGGAGACCACCTAGGATGTAGAGGGTCATCACACAGAGGCAGGTAATGGCAAGCCACCTCAGATAGTCTCTTGCTTTGAAAACCCTACATTGTCTGCACAAGTCGGCTGTGACTTGATGGTAATTTCCACGGCCAACTAGCCAGCTTGATTGCTGTTAGTCATAACCACTAGGTGGCAGCCTTGGGCCTCTAATACTCATGCTTCTGGTTCAGTTTAGTTATATTGAATAGGAAGTAAAATGGGAAGTTTCTTAAAGCGCATACAATGCAAAAAATAATAATTAAAGCATGGCTAGAAGATCAAATCAGTCAATCCTAAAAGAAATCAACCCTGACTGTCCCCTGGAAGGCCAGATAATGAAACTGAAGCTCAAATACTTTGGCCACCAAATGAGAAGGGAGCACTCACTGGAGAAGACCCTGATGCTGGGAAAGATTGAAGGTCAAAGACGACGGGGACGGCAAAGGATGAGATGGTTAGACAGTGTCATAGCTGCAACGAACATGAAATTGAGCAAACGTCAGAGGACAGCGGAAAACAGGAGGGCCTGGCGTGATCTGGTCCATGGGGTCGCGAAGAGTTGGACTCAACTGTGCAACTGAACAACAAAAAAAGCTTTTTAGCATAGTCTTGCAACTCCAGATTCGAAAGGAACATTGTGCTATTCTTTCCTTGTGCATATTTAGATATTGTTGGCACTGAAAACATTGAACATTTTAATGTATTATCGTTAAATACATTATAGCACACTACTTGTTGCCAAAATTATTTAGGTTTAAACATTCATGAAAATACATTGTGTATATTTACTCTTACATAAAACAACTTTATACTACAGTAAAACCTTGTGTTTAAAAGCATTCCACTCATTCTGAAGTGGAGGAAAGAAACTTATTTCTCCAGTATTCCCTAATATACCCCAGGTTTTCCAGTGGAAAAATTGAACAGTCCTCAGATTTTTTCATGCTTTGTATCTTGAGTGGGGGAAAAAAACAGTGTCTTAAAATGCATTTCACTCATTCTGAAAGAGAAAACATTTCACGGGAATTCCCCCCCCCCCCAGTGTTTTTCCAAATTTCCCAATGGAAAAGTTGGACAAAAATCCTGGGTGCATAAAAAAAGGCACATACTTTTCTGAATGTTTCCATCCCCCCCCCCGATTTTTTTCATATCTCTAGTAGAATCAGGGTGCTATTGTCCATATTTCTTTGCTTCCCCTTCCGTACCTTAAAGACAAGATGAGACCTGGTGCAGCTGGATAAGCATCCCCTCACATGATTGGGGCTTGGTTCATAGCTGAGACAGTTAGGTCTTAAGGCAAAGGCTGGTGGTACAGGAGCTGCTTATTCACCCTAGAAATTCATCTGTAATGTCTGCTGGTGGGGTTACAATCAGGGTAACTGGTTGCATGAAGATTAGTACACTTTTGAGCAATCTGACATGGATGGCCCAGGCTAGCTTGCTCTTAACAGATCTCAGAAGCTAAGCAGGGCTGGCCCAGGTTAGCACTTGGGTGGGAGACCCCCAAGGAAGTCCAGGATCTCCACGCAGAGGCAGGCAATTGCAAACCACCTCTGAATGCCTTTTGCCTTGAAAACCCTATGGGGTTACCATACGTGGGCTGCAACTTGATGATGCTTTCCACTGCCACACTTTTGATGAAAGGGTACCAGACCCTTGTGGGGAACAGGTTGCATGCCACCTATGCTTATCATGAACCACTGCTGCTTTGTTCTTTTTTTTTTTTAATTGCTTGGTCACAGAATCCATATTTTTTATGTATACAGATATTGGTGGAGGATTCTACTGTGAGATTGAGACAGTGACTCTAAATGGCCCTGACTGGGAAGGAAAACATGCCAGGGGTCTTGCCCCTTCCAGGGAAGTATGCAGAGATGGGACAGAAGGAGCGTCCCTTGAGCACCCCCAGCAGCAAGATCCCGATTCTCTCTAAAAGCCAGCTTCCCTCGGAGCTGAAGCCATTGCAGCAAGTGAGTGAGAATATGGTGACCTTCTGGCTTGAATCTGGCTGTTCTCTCATGGTATGGCTGTACGATACCTGTGCAATGTGTGAGGTTCACAGCAGCATCTCAGTCGTGCATTGTAAAAAAAGGAGGAAAAAAAGGAATTTCTGGCTTTCACAGTTGCTGGTAAAAGCTTAAAATCTGCCTGCCTAGTATCAGCTAAAGACTTGGGAGAGGGACCCCCTATCCCAGGTTACAGCTCTTAAAAGGCATGACATGCCTTCCCTGCATTTGTCTAGTGATTTCTGTGTTCTCTAGAACCTAGTTATGCAGTAAGTTTTGCCATGGGCTATGTCTGAGTTCCCCACTCAGACAGTCAGTCCGAGTTCCTGCTAGGATCTCAGTTCCCAAGTGTGTGAGGGCCCCATCCAGACAAGGATGTGACATGCAGGGGAAAAGGGACTTCAGGTTTCCCTTGCATTTTTTCCCAACCTGAATGCCCCTGAGGGTTGCTGTTTGCTCCATTGAGGAAACCTATGTGCATCCCAGTCAGTACACATGCAACTCCCAGTCAGGGCTGGCCTGTTATTGTTAAATTTTAGACTGTTGCCTAGGGTGACGGTTCAATGAGGGCGCCATTCTGGCCGGCCTCGTCCCCTCCTCACTCCACACAGGAAGCCTCCCTTGCCGGCTTCTTGCTCCGTCCCCGGCAAGAGACTCCCCTCTTTGCATCCCCCCAGACAGAAAGAGAAGGAGGGGGGGGACAGGTGTGGGGAACAGCCCGGGAGGACGGGAAAGTGCCGCTCGCCCTCTGCCGCCCTGCCACTGCAGTCTCTTTGGAGCTCCTTTTGCAGCCTGGCACAGCCCCCTCCCCTCGAGCGATCCCCCCCCCGCATGCATTTGTAGCTCGCCCCCTCGGCCTGTCCACTGTGGCTCTGGCACCTGCCCCCGTCCAGCCCCGCATGGGGTGGTGGTGCCAGAATGTATCCTCACCTAGTGGGCGAAAAAACCTGGGGCCATCACTGCTCCCAATAGAGCAAATAGTAGTTCTCTGGGACCTTTTCAGGTCAGTAAAATGGTCCAGTGGAGGGGAGCCTGAGGGCCTTTGCGTCTATGTACCGTGGTCTGAGTCTGAATTGGGGGACCCACATGGCTTGGGTCTGAGTTCCCAGTTAAAGTAAATGAAAAGTCCTCACAGTGGGCCTGGGTAGGACACGTGGGAAAGCTTAGCTGGTAGCTAAGCTCCTAAACTCAGTCCTATTTGTCTCGTCCCCATTTGCCCAAATCTGGTTGTTCGGGCACACAATCTGAGCACAGAGAGAGCCTCCTTAAATTAGTCTGTACAAGATTTTTGTACATGTAGCATAACTCTTTTGCTATGTAATTAATGCTGTAAATACCTGACTGTTGTCTGACAGTGTTTGATGAATGAATTGATACCGTGCATGTTGTCTGACAGTATTTGATGAATGAATTGATACTGTGTATGTTGTCTTGACAGTATTTGATGAATGAATTGATACAGTGCATTTTGACCAATCTTGCAGCAAGCCCTGCCAAAAAGTTCTTGGAGACTATGACAAAACATGTATTTCAGAGGTGCTCATGCTGCAGCTCGCAGAGAGCCACGTTCACAGGTTCCATCAGCCAAAATAGCCACATTTGCTTCCATCCCTGGCATAAGGCTTGCATCTCAGGGAGGGTTGCAGCCTACCTGTTCCTCCAGTGGCAGCTGTTACAAGGGGGCGACCAGTGTTCCCTCTCAGCTGAGTTACTGTGAGCTAGCTCACATGTTTTTAGCCTCCGGCTCACACATTTTTGTCTTAGCCCAGGAAGGATGCCTCCAGAGCAGATGTAATCTATGCAGGAGCCAAATCGCTTGCTCACAGCTTTAATGCCAGTAGCTCACAAAGTAGAATTTTTGCTCACAAGCCTCCACAGCTTAGATGGAACATTGGTGGCGACCCACTTGCCAACCACAAGTCCTGCCAGGCAAGGGCCTAGCTGATGTTCCTGAAACATGGGGCAGGTGCTGCATTGGGCAACAGTGCTCAAAAGAGCCAGAGGTGGCATGTGGAAGAGCCACATATGGCTCCCGAGGCACTGATTGAGTGTCACTGGTATACTTGTTCTCCGGTTCAGGAACCTGTTGTTCAGTGCAGGTGGTGCTGCGTATCAGAACCGAAGTGTTCTACCTCCTTTGTTTTTATTACTTCAGTTTTCTCCCCAACGGGGACCTGAATTGGCTTACAACATTGTTCTGTCCTCCTTTTTATCATCGCAACAATCACCCTGGGAGGCCCTGCTGCGTATCAGAACCGAAGTGTTCTGCCTCCTTTGTTTTTATTACTTCGGTTTTCTCCCCAACGGGGACCTGAAGTGGCTTACAACATTGTTCTGTCCTCCTTTTTATCATCGCAACAATCACCCTGGGAGGCCGGTTAGGCTAAAAGAGACTAGCCCAGGGTCACCCAGTGAGTTTCCACAGCAGAGTGGGTATCTGAGTGTGGATCTCCCAGATCGTGCTCCACACCGCCCTGACTTTTGTTGAGAACAGGATTACATCCATCAGGGAACTCGAAGTCTGGATCTTTGGCAGCTTTGGACAGCTTTGAACTGACGTGTCCCCTCTCCTATCTTGGCTGCCCCTTATGGAATGAGGACACAATCTTGAGACACGTGACTGGTCTGAGTTGGGTCCTCTTGCTGTGCTCTACAGGCATGCTCGTCCGCTGTGAAGACCAAAGGTCTCAAGATGTCCAAGGTGTCTTCTGTTGGTGTGCCAGTTGTGGAACCAGCAGCTGGGGTTCTCTCCAAGAGCCATTCCAGAGAGCCTCTGGGGGAGATGCAGCTGAGTGCGTCCGGCCATAGGAATGTGTTGGAAGGTGGAAATGCAAATGGCAAAGGTATCGATCCCTTTATGTTTTTAGAACAGTGAAGCAAGCTGAAATTCTGATTAACCATTGGGCACCTTTAATGGTTTCCTTGAAATCTGTAGACTTTGTATTTCCCCCAAAGGAGGAAAAAACCCTCCCCTCCCATGGCTTCAAAATGTTCAGATGTAAGTCTTTTCGTGGGACTTGTTAAGGCTCCTTGGGTCTCCTGTTTGGCTCAATGGTGCTAAACCAGAGAGCTTCCATTCCTTCTCACATCTCCAGGCAGGGTTGGGATTAAATTTCCGATTCCTAGGCGCCAGCATCTAAGTATCCTGGGTTATCCAGTTGCTGGGGTTTTTCTTACGGCCGTCCTTCAGTAGCTTCCTGTGCTAGTAATGTGAGGCCGATCTCTCTTATAGGAGCCAGTGCAGTGGAGTTTGTGCCTGACGCAGAGGCCCTTGCCAGCATCCTGTCCGACACAGGGCTGTCTAATCAGGTGGTGAGTGCAACCCACAAGCCCAGCCTGGCCCGGCGGGTACCCCTGTGGGGTAATAGAGCATGCTCCTCCAGCAGTGGGGTAAGTCTCCTCTACGCACATGAGTATTGCTATGACATTTGTTTGTATTCTTTGTGATATACACTTGTCGGTCAAGTTGGCATGGAGAAGAGCAGTGGTCTTCAGCCTATGGGTTGGGACCCTCGAGTGGCTTACTAGCCCCCTACAGAGCTACCATTTCTTTGCTAGCTTTGGCGGGACCTGCTTCCACCAGTGTGTCTGTCTAGAGACCAAGGATATCATGCCTGTTGCTTTTCTTTGCTTTTAAGCTGAAAAGCAGCAGGACAGCCTGGCGAAGAAGTCCCCTCAGTGGTGGAGAGAGTTCCTCCATGGCTCTTCGTCCACACTGTGGTACTTGTCTCTGGAGTGCTTCTCATCCTCAGCTCTCTTGGTCCCATGCTTCTGGCCTTGATACCAGTGAAGTCATAGTTCTGGCTCATTGTCTTTCTGTCACATGGCTCTGATGTCACCCGGCTTCTGTCGAATGCCTGCAGCTTAAGTGGCTCCCAGGCAGGGTGGGGTCCTGTGTCTGGAAATGCTGGAGAATACTATCTCACGGGACTCCCTCTTGCCTTAAAGAATGCAGATGTGACAAAGGTAGATGCTGCTGCTGTTACGGAGTGTTCTTGTGCCTGGCCTCTGTCGCCCCCCCCCCCCAGCCACATCTATCTCCTATACTAGCATAAGAAACTACAGACAGCTTCCTTGTTTCACTCAATGGTAAGAATGGCCACCATGATGAACAGAGAGGAAGCTGTGCTAACATTTGCTGAGCATCATGTGCATGGCCAGGCAATAGTTCACAGAGCAGCTGTAGTGAAGGAGATCTGAAAACCATATCTTTACATGAATGGATTCTCTGTCTTCCACTCCTCCCCTCCAGCCTGGTAGTTAGAACAGGAGCAAAGAAGCTGGAGGGGGGCTCTTCTCTTGCATTCAATGCCTCTGATTTCTCTGTAGACAGGCCGAGGCTCCCTGTATGCAGGAGCTACCGTGGTGAATCCTGCCCACATGTCCCATCTTTCCAGATCAGCACCAAAAGGTACTGGAACCTGGGATTTCTTCTTGACGTCTGGGGGGCTGGGTTGGGCTACATAGTGCCCCAGGTCTCTCCCCACAGCTTCTTCAGTGTTGCAGCTTGGTAGAAGTCCCTTAGCTGTTTTTAAGTGCTGTGGAAATTGAACCAAAGAATCTTCATCCTCCTCTTTTGTTCCTCCATCTCCTCCCCCCTACAGATGTGGATCTCCCTCCATCCTGTAGTCTGGCCCTGAATGCTCAGCAACTGAAGACGCTGTCTGCAACGCTTGGGAACCTTGGGCCTGGGGTGAGTGGTGGGTTGTTGTTAGTTGTTTGCTGACCAGCAGGTGGCAGTGTTGAGAAGAAATGCTGGGGTTGGAGGGGATGACTCTTCACGGGCCGAATTAGAGCTGAACTAAATGTGGCGGCAGCCACAGATTCATCCTGTGGCCACCAATGCCATTTTAGAAGCAGGTGTAGTTCTTTAAAATTGCCATGAGTCCCTGATCCAGACTGCGTGTGTGGTGGACCCAGGAGCTCTTGTTTCCCCCTGCAGTTTTTTCATATGCAGAAACAGGACCCCCAAGGCAGCTTCAGCCCTTGAAAAACCTGGGAGGTTGACAAGAACGTCTGGGGGCTGCTATGCATCTGATTCAGATTGGAGCTCACAGCAATTTAATATATATATTAAATGTAATAGCAATTTAATATATATATTTATTATATATATATATAATCTGCTTCTAAAACAGCCTTGGTGGCCATGGGATGGAACAGTAGCCACCACTGTGTTTAGTCTGGCTCTAATGCTTCTTTAAAAAGTTTGTTTTGGGGCTGCTGCTCTCTCCTTGCAACTGTGGCTAGGCAAGACTTCCTTCTCCTTAACAGCATCTAAGCATAGCAGGGACTGACCTCTTTCATTTCAACACAGTGTGTCTCTATTACAGTACTAGTTTAGGGTAATGATCCATTATTCCTGCTGTTAGCAAGGTGTATGGGGGGACGTTATGATTCCAAGTTAGTCCTGTGTGATGGTTCTGCATACATGTGCTATGTGTGTGTGTCTTGGATCAATGGCTCCTCTGTCTCTTTATTTTCCTTGTCTTGGAAGAACAGGTGGGTCAATGCCACAGTCAGTTATTGCCTTAGGCCCCTGGCCATAGTGGGTAACATGTGTAAACTGGATGAGGCTTTGAGAGAAACTGAGGCTTCTGCCAGTGTATTTTAAACGATTTCTCCATTCCCTATGCAGGAGGAGTGCTCTTTTTTTAAAAAAAAAATGGCTCTCCATGACTCCATCTAAAGATATTCACATTTGGGGGAGGGGGGATTCCGAAAGTTTTTCTTTTTCTGACTGAAAACTTCTTGGCACTGAGAAACTTCTGTGAAATACCCTCTCTCTAGGAATGCATGAAATCCTTTTTAAAATGATGTTTTACTCTGTCAGAATGTTTAGTACATTTGCATTTAAAAAAAAATCATCTGCACTGTTAGGTAATGATGATTCTTGAGTCTAGTGAACATATGTAAAAAATTTTCAAGCATATGTTTAAATGTGACTAATTTTGTCCAGAATTAATGCTGTATGTGACAATACACTATTGAATTATTCAATAGTATAAAAACTGTTTTGATTCTTGTTTTGTTATCTTCAGCATTTTATTTCCATTGGCAGAAACTAAGATGCATTAGCTAAGGCACCATAGGGTTACAGCAGTTTGCAGATCTCTCTTTAGTACTGGAAATATTTTCAGTTTTGCTTACAGAAAAAGAAGGCAAGATTACTATTTCTTTATTGCTTAAATATGCTGATACCTAATTTTATAAAGCATGCACTATATACTGTTAAAGCAGTAAAGTAAGTTTAGGTTAGATGAAGAAGCACTGTGTACATTTGAATCCCCCCCCTCCCCAATTTGAGTTTTCCAGAAAGTTCTCCCACAACTTCAAAATTTCCAGGAATTTTACATCTCTAGCCACAATCTTCATCTCCCGTGATGGTGAAATCTGTGGATAGCTGTGCCTATGCTAATGGCCCCAAGTCTGTCTGGTACCCCCTTTGTCCAGTCCACACGCTTCTCTCTGGGACTGCCTTGCTGTGTGAATGCCATCCCACCTGGGCTGGTGCTTCTGTTCCCCAGAATAATGCTTGTTAGCTGCAGTCCCTTGCTTCCCTGACTGTCTGACTTCTGCATCAGGTGGAGACAAAGGACGACCAACCAATGGAGAACCTGCAAGCAGACAAATGTAAAGATTCAGTAGCCAGACCCAAGACAGAATGTCTGGGCAGCATCACTGAGGCTGGTCCTGTGAAGCAAAGGTGAGGAGAACTGAATGATAGACCAGCGGAGGGGACTTATAGGTGCTCCTGAGTTCACAGTTCATATTGAGGTCTGTTGTCACGGTTTTCCAAACTCTTTGGGGTGGAGGTGGATCCCCATCTGACTTCTAGCCTGCCTTTGTTTTTTATTGCTCTCCAGTTCTTCACAATAGCCAGCATGCGTAAGATTGTTTTCCAGATTGATGTTTCCATTACTGGTGGCAGTTGGGTGGATCCCATGAAGCATTTCTGTAGGCGTAAGGATTTCTCCCTGCAGAGCATGACTTTCTCATAAGAATGTAAGAGAAGCCAATGTTGGATCAGGGCAATGGCCCATCCAGTCCAACACTCTGTCACACACTGGCCAAAAATGCCAGGTACCATCAAGGATGTCCATCAGTGGGGCCAGGACACTACCATCAAGGATGTCCATCAGTGGGGCCAGGACACTACCATCAAGGATGTCCATCAGTGGGGCCAGGACACTACCATCAAGGATGTCCATCAGTGGGGCCAGGACACTACCATCAAGGATGTCCATCAGTGGGGCCAGGACACTACCATCAAGGATGTCCATCAGTGGGGCCAGGACACTACCATCAAGGATGTCCATCAGTGGAGCCAGGACACTAGAAGCTCTCCCACTGCCCCCCCCCGCCCCAAGCACCAAGAATACAGAGCATCTCTTGTCCCAAAGTTCTTATATATACCTTGTGGTATAGCCCCTGATAGACTTCTGCTCCATATGTTTATCAAATTCCCTCTTGAAGCCGTCCATGCTTGTAGCCGCCGCTACCTCCTGTGGCAGTGAATTCCATGTGTTAATCACTCTTTGGGTGAAGAAGTACTTCCTTTTATCTCACTGTCTCGATCCCACTGAATTCTGAAATGCCTTCAGGGAATGCCTCTGCTCCCTAATAATGTTTTGCAGCATAAGAGAACACTGGAGGCTAGTTCTTACTGCATCATGGGAAGTAGCCTCAGACCTTCCCCCTCTACCCCGCCCTGTTTTGTAATAGTGTATTCCTGTCTACTTTCAAACAGCAACTTGGCTTGCGGTAAGGAAACCACGGGAGCCTTGTGGACAGGTGAGTAGCAGTGGTTTTATGTGTCGATTAGATTCATGATCCACCCTGTTCGCTAGGTGTAGAATCTTGGCACAGAGACTCGCTTGCAGATATCAATAAACAAAATTGATCATTAGCGTTTATGTGCCTTTCAGTAACACTGGGATGAAGCTTATTCTATCTTTTTTTTTTTAACTGAAGATTCTGTTCTATTATCATCCAGTTGCTGCTTTAGAAAGATCTTCAGCCTTCCACTTCAGCATGAAGTATGCCAACAGAGTACCATTCAGTAGCCGTTTAAATGCTATTTTAGCAGTCTGCTTTTGAATACAGCTCTTGATTCTGTTTGGTGTGGAGTGTGAATAGCTTGGCTAGTGGTCGTCCTTGCTAACTTCATCTCTTGGTGTTCCAGAAGAAGAGTTTGTACCGGATCCCGCTGCCAAAGCCAGCATCTTGTTGAACATTGGACTGAGCCATTCAGCCCTTGGGGCTGGCAACAAGCTGAGTCTGGCCAGGCGAATCCCAATAAAAGACGTTCAGAAGCCGCCTGTTTGTGGCAGCATCAGGGTGAGCAGTGTTCAGCGTGTCAGAGGTCTGGATGTCTGTAAATTATCTCCAGGTGTGTTCTTGTGGTTACCCTAACAAGGGGCTGAACAGCTGCTCAGCTCAAGACCTGTTCTAGACTTCCGTAACGTGTACGTATCATCTCCCTCATCTGCTTCCTGTCATCTTATGGGCTGCTAAGGAGGCTAGGAATTGAGGGAGCCGTAAGCTTTAGGATCCATAGCCACTGGGTACAGGACTTGCCTTAAAGGTGGAAGCTAGCTTGACCCAGCTATGGCGTCTGCTAGCTTCTTGAAATGGAGCCCTCCTACAAAGTCCTTTCTGACAGGCCGTTGAGTATGAGGGACTGGGAACTAGGAATGGCCAGTGTGGAGCGTGGCTTCCTCTTAGTGGCTGAAGTCTCTGAGGCAGAACAATGGAATGGCGCTTTTTGGAGTGGGGAGGGGGCTTAGGCAGCCTTGTCCAGGAAAATCTCCTGGTGGCTTCCAGTCATCAACTCACAGATCATGTGAAAAAGATGGCTGCTGAGTGTTAAAACCTTTAGAAGTCTTATCTAAGGTGAATATTGGAATGGCGTTTGCTGAGAGGGAGAGGTCCATGAGAATCATTGGTGGGGGTGACTGTTCTCCCCCCCCCCCCCCACACAGCTTGCCCACTTCAGGATTCTATACGTTTGTGCAGGTCACTTTTGGCCACGGACCATGAAAAGACAAATAAGTGGTTTCTAGATCAAATCTAGCCTTAACTCTCCCTAGAAGATAAAATGACCAAACTGAGGCTCTCGTACTTTGGTCACATGATGAGAAGACGAGAGTCACTGGAGAAGATAATAAAGCTAGGAAAAGTTGAAGGCAGCAAGAAAAAGAGGACGATCCAGCGTGAGAGGGATGGACTCAATCAAGGAAGCCACGAAGGGCCCTCATTTGGCACGACCTGAGCACGGCTGTTCTGTGACAGGACGTTTTGGAGGTCATTGATTCATAGGGTCGCCATAAGTCGGAAGTGACTTGAGGGCACTTAACATGCGCACACACGGTTTCTCTGTCCTTCCCCCTTTAATTTACTGCAGCGTGTTCAGTCCTTATCAGGTGGTGGCTTGGATTCTTTTTAAACCAGTTTATTTTACAAGAACATTTTTTTCTGCAGTTCTGGGGAGTCATCCCTTCCTCCATATTTAAAAACCTCTGCCTTGTCTGTTGGGCGGCTTAGTCTTGCTGCTTTTGTGATTTGGCACAAGGGGCAGACGTTTTATAGGTACAGTGATGCTGTGCTTGGTACACACAGATGCCCCCCCCGCTCGCCCCGTCCCGCCACTGTTTCCTGGGTGTGGCAGCCTCTTTCCACTGCTCCCTTACAAAGTTGTTACTTACCGAAAAGCTCTAATGAAACGATCTCAAAGCATTATACAGAAAGATCGTAATGGCTATAAAAGGTACATAAGACAGAGGAGCAGAGAAGAAACGGCGCTTCCCATGAGCCTAGCCTCCGAGACCTTCCTCAGGGAAGGGTTTGGGGGAACTTGCTGCTGTTGACAGCTGGAGACACTGATGGTTTGTTTTCCCCTCCTTTTCTAGGGTGGAAATGCCTCTCTTCCAGGGTACCGGATGAGTGCTCCCCCAACAGCCAAGTTTGGCCGCGTGTCCTGCCGTTCCACCCAGGGCCTTAAAGGTACAGTTAAGAGAGGAGCTGCTGTGTGAACTTAAGGGTGTGTGTTTATTCTCAGGGGGGATGTACTGGGGGGGCTGCCCTGGTATGAGACTTTCTGACTTTTGTCTTTTTTCACCTTGCAGGTCTCAAGGAGTCAGGGGCTTTTGGAGGACAGCTGCCCATCACGCCTGGCAACAGATGTTCTGCTGTGGATTATTCGCCGAGTGGTCTAGCCAGGAGGGTTCCCATTGTGCAATCACAGCCCTCGGTTTGTGCCCCCGGGAAAGGAGACGGGTAGCTGCGGCTGGGCACTATGGGCTGCACTCAAGCTGGGGTTGCGGCATTGGTAGTAGAAGGGGGTTTCAGCCTCCATGCCATTTGATTTCCTGACCCAAAATGTCTCTGGTGGAAGGGTTGCTTGCCCATTTGGGGGGGCTACACGTGTAGTTCATCAGTATACATGCAGCTCCCTCCAGTAGGATCAACACCATTACTGTGGTCATTTTGGGTTGGGAAAGCAATGGGGGTGATGTGGTGAAGGCTGGTGTCTCCCCCCGCCCCGTCCCCCCCCCCGTCATGGTCCTTATCCAAATCAGGCCCCCCTAACAGCTGGGGAGGTGAGTTCCCAAAAGCATGATGTGAGACTGTTGTTTTGAAATTTGGGTTTCAAATTGTGAAAAAAATTGCAATGTCTAGCAAAAATGCTTGTGTAGGATATGGGCAACCCCATATCACGTCCATGATTCTGGGTCCTCTGAGATGGGCATATGGGCTTCTGATAGGCTAAGGCTTAGGAGGGCTAGAATTTTTAAGGCTTTACTGCCCATGGCTTGATAGTTTGGCAATCGTAGATGACTGTCGTTAGCCAGAGTGTACTTTGCTTTGTTCTCGAAGCTCTGTGCCTTGCCTCTTGCTGCAACTCCCCCCCAACCCCCCCCCCCAGGTGGTGCTCTGAATACTTTCTCCTTTTTGGTTCAGCATTTCAGACCTTGGAGATGTAACCGTGCAGTTTTGTCTTCTTGCATTGCTAAGCGGACAGGTATCCGGTGCCTGACAGAAACACCACAGGTGGGTTTGTGGAGGGACCGGGGTTACAGCTAGGCCCCTCCCACTGAAAATTGTCTAGCTATGGGGGTGGGAGGGACCGTGGACTTTTCGGTGACCAAGCCCCCCCCTTGCAAAAAAGCATTTTAAAGACCCAGTCCTTCTAAGATGTTGCTTTGTGACTGCAGGACGTGGATGTTGTGTGATCTGTAGGTTAAGGGAAGACATCTGCCTTCTGAGGTCTTTGGTCCCCCTCTTGATTCTACTGATTTCTTTGAGTTGGGCGGCATGACTTGGGGGATTAGAGTTTATAATAATTGCCGTAATGGGGTCAGTCCAATGGTCTCACTTGGCATGATGTTGTGAGAAGCCTAAATCTGCCCTGCGCAACAGGGCTCAGGGCGGATAACAACTCAAGGGAAGGGGTTGTGTGTGTCAGTAGATATTACAACTGATTTTAAGATACCCAGTGGCTGGAAAGAAGGAGGGGAGCCAATCTAGAAGCTGCCATTGCCTCAGCCATACACCTGGCAGAATATTGCGGTTTTCCAGGCCCTGCGGAACTGCAGTAGGTCCCTCAGGGACCGGGTCTCATCTGAAAGAGCGTTCCACCAGGTTGGTGCTAGAGCTGGGAAGGCCTTAGATCGATCTGTGGCCATTTGGATGCATTTTGGGCTGGGAACCACCAGATTATTATTCATCGAGTACGATGCTCTTTGGAAGACACACCAGGTGTCATGATCTGGGCTGTGCCACCAGAGGCCTACTAGGCCCAGGGAGCCTGGCTAGCAGTAGGTGAGGCTGGGCCTACAACTCCCAGAAGCCCCTGAGAGGGTTTGGAGCCAAAATTGACCAATAGGAAAAGAGGAGGGCTTGGAATAAAAGATCTGGTGCAGCAGGAAAAGCTGTTCTTCTTCCCAGGAGCCAGAGCCAGAAGGGACTGAGGCTGCTGTGGGGAAGAGACCCTCATGTTGAGGGAAGGGGGAGTAGTCTAGTGCCACTTGAGATAGTGGGCTAGGGACAGTATATATCTAGACACATTAGGGCATTTGATTTCTTTTCACCCACTTACTGTTGTTATTCTGCACCTTGTTGTTCGACCTCCTATAAAATAAACTATTTTCATTGTTCACTCTGCCTGGTCCTCACGCCCATTATTCGGCCAAAAGGGAGGTCAGAAGGTCTTGGGAGGGTGCTCTGGGCCTTCTCAAGGGATCCTAAATCCAGAGTGGTGACAGCGTCAAGTTGACACCCCACCTGAGCCGCGACACCAGGATAGACAGTCCCAAAGATATGTTGGTCCCAGGCTGTGTAGGGCTTTGAACGTCAAAACCAAAACCTTGAATCTGATCCGGTATTCTCCTTGGAGCCAGTGCAGTTGGTGGACCACTGGTTGTATATGGGCTCTAGATGATGTTCCTGTGAGGAGACATGCCGCTGCGTTCTGGACCGCTTGTAACCTCTGGGTCAGCCTCAAGGGTAGCCCTGTATATTCTGGACCGCTTGTAACTTCTGGGTCAGCCTCAAGGGTAGCCCTGTATAGAGCTATGCAAAAGCTAATAGCCATATCTGTTTCTTGTTTATATTCTCTGATAGTTTGAGGTGTGGCGGTTTGTGAAACAGAGATCTGTTATGCATGTATGCTTTTAATTCAGTTTTTTTGCAATATAAGAAGTCACACACATTGTACAGAGAACTTCCTCATGCTGATTTTGAGGCTATAGATGTATCAGTTTCGATGCTGTATGAGCATGTAGCCAAACAGGCTCCCAGAACTTGTTTCTTGTTACCTTAACGTAAGGAATATTTGATGGTAGGGTTTAAGAAGGAATCCAGGACTGTGAACAGGTTGAGCCTTAGCTCTAGACGGGCAAGGTTGGAGAACTGCTACCAGTGGTTCTCTGGCCCCCAGGACCTGGTACCCAGTTAACATCGGTACCCCAAAAATTTACCCATGTTCTCTTGTACTCTTCAGACTAAATGGATGGGTGGGGCCACCCCACGATGTACGGGCATTGTCAGCTCCAAGAAAGATGGCAGTCCTGTGTGCTGGGTGAGTGTCCGGATAGGACTGGAGGAATGCTTTCAAGAGTGTTTGTCTTTGTGGCTCTACATGTTGGTTGGTTGTGTCATTTGAGCTTCCATCTGAGAATGCCTTTTATAAAACTTCTTGGTGGCTATTAGCTTCTTTTGGTAGTCCTGCTATTGCAAGTCCAAATGGAAAAAGTTGCCGGAGTTATTTGTTGGAAAGTGGGAAGTGAAAAGCAGACCCAAACACACTGATACTCGAGACAGATCTGGCAGTAGTCAAAATACTCAGGCTTTCTTCCACGCCAAAACACATAAGAACATAAGAGACGCCAATGTTGGATCAGGCCAAAGGCCCTTCCAGTCCAACACTCTGTGTCACACAGTGGCCAGAAATACCAGTGCCATCAGGAGGTCCACCAGTGGGGCCAGGACATTAGAAGCCCTCCCACTGTTGACCCCCCCCCCCAAGCACCAAGAAGACAGAGCATCACTTTCCCCAGAGCCCCTATCTATACCTTGTGGCTAATAGCCACTGATGGACAACACTTTCAGTTGTGGGTGTGATTTGCTTGGATCTTATTCCATGTACACTGAGAAGTGTCTGCAACGTTACGCTTGCAAACTGCCTGGGGGGGACCCTAGGAAACTCAGGTGAGAAAATTGTGGAACATCTTCCATCCCTCACCCTGCCTGGCTTCTGCAGATCCTCGAGAATGTGATACTTGATCCATTCCTGGAAAAGGATCCTGACTTTTGTCAATTCTTAAAATAATTGTATTTTACAAAAGTGAGTGTTCAAGCTACAAAACTAGCCCAAGAGTGTGTGCCTGGAGCAGACTTCTTGATGATAAATTGCGGGGCTGTTCACAGTTGTTGTCATTTAAAAGCTCTTCTGAATTGCAGGGGCTAAATTTTTGCAAAATTCTGACTTGCGGTTGAGCCCAGAGGGCTGTCATGGACTATATCTATTTCATTTGTACCCAGTGTGACTTACATCATTTTCCTCTCTTCCACTTTGTCCTCACATCGACCCTGTGAGGCAGGGTAATAGACTGTGCAGTTGGCCCAAAATCAGTAGGTAGACTTCCATGGCAGTTGGGCGGATTCGAACCTTGGTCTTTCGGATTCTAGCCTGGCACTCTAACCACTGCATCACACTGGCTCTCTCATTGGCACTCCAATAGCGTAGCCTCCATCCTTACTCTTGTCGAGATCAGCAGGCAGTTTCTAGGCGAGGAGGAGGAGGAAGATGCTTTGCTTTCTCCCCCGCCTTCCTTGTCCGCGTCCGGTTTGTGACGACAGCTTAACAGGGTGGGGGTGCGACCAGGCCCACCCATCTGACCTCTTCCTCTCTCAACAGGAGAAGATTGCAGTGTGTCTCTTTGACGATGGTCTAGAGGCACCAGCAAAGAAAATGCCTGCTGCTTGTGTCATCCCCTCGGACATGGGGAAACTCCAGGTACGAAATGAAGGCTTGAGTGGGTAGCAGGGAATTGCACTCTCCTGGTAGAAGTTGGCCCCCGGCATAAAAATTAAGTAGCTGCCAATCCTTTCCTGCAGGGGGTCTCTTCCAGCAAGCTTGTTGGGTAGCCTAAATTCATAAGCAAAGAACCATTGCTAAGTAGGGGTGGTTGGGGCTGGGTTGGTGAAGGTTCTTAGAGATCCTGGATGGAGGTGGGAGCAGAAGAATGGGTCCAGGCAGTGAAGCAGAGAGACTCGTAGTGGGAGGGAGTTACTGGAGGAGAGTGTCTTGTCTGCAGAACAAGCCCTGGACTTGGGACAGCACACCAGGCAGAATTATTTGTCCATGTCTGATTTGCTGGTAAACAAACCTGTCCCCTTAGTTTAACTCTTTGTTTCTGCGCTGTCCATTGGCTATAATGGAATTACTTGCAAGATAAACCTGGGTTTTATATTAATCTTGCTCCTTGCAGTGGAAAGAAAGTAGAACACCCAAAACTAGCTGGTGACCGTTCACAACATGAGACTACAAAGACAGCACAGGATTTATATAGCGTCAGAGTATAGGGTGCTGTATTGAGTGATTTTTAACACTCACTGGCTAAAAAATTAGGCCTTTTGAAACCACTTTCCTTGGCCCTTCAGTAACTGAGGAAGACATTCTGTTTGTAACTGATGCTTAAGAGTGGAGAATTTCTAAGATGCACAAGGTCTCATGTGTCTCATCTGCCACAAAAGCACAGGAGGGCAGAGCCAGGCCAGGGTGAACCAGCTGTTTAAAGCTTACCAGGAAAGTTCCCAGAGGGCTTCAGCCAGGAACAAGCAGAACCATGCCGCAGCATCTCTGCCAGCGATGCAGGAGTCGCTTGGCTCAAGCTTTTCAGTGGTGGTAACAGTTGGTGTCTGCTCACCTGTTGCTTCTTCCTGCACTGCCACAAGAGTTGTTGGATGACCTGATGCCCATTGTGGGCACTGCTGTCCAGGTGTGCCCGGAGTGGCCCATACTGTGCTGGAAAAACGGGAAAATAACCAGCTTGAACGACGATGCTGTCTTTTCAACATGGCAAATAGTGGCCCATACTGTGCTGGAAAAACTGGAAAATAACCAGCTTGAACGACGACGATGCTGTCTTTTCAACATGGCAAACCATAACTCAGCTTTTCTAGCATTCACAAAGGCCGTATCACATTGAGTGAAAGTGTGTGCCATCTGTTCTTAAAATCTGATTTAGCTAAATATGTCCTAGAGGTCCAGAATTTTTGAGGGAGATTGTATGACTGCACCATATATAATTAAAGGATTAAATCCTGGTAGCAATTTAACTGACTTGATGCAGAAAGGAGAGGTCTGCTTCTTCAAAGCAAGCCCGTCTAGCCTTCCGGGCTGCAGAGGAGAAACTTTGCCACATCCTCTCCTCGGGGTCCTGTTCCCTCCTGTGACTTTTCTCCTTCACATTGGCCCTTGCTTAAAAACTTCCTGCTCTGAAAACTGCTAGGAAAGAAGAATCAGTTATGCAAACTGTAAGTGGATATTCCTAGTTGTAGGAGTGTGGAGTGATTTAGAGAAGCCCAGAAAGACTACGTGGTTAAGGCCTGAGATTCATGGTAGGCAGACAACGCATAACTGCAAGATGTCTTGTAGCAAGCAAATAATAATTGCCGTCAAGTTGCAACCGACTCATGGCAAACCCGGGATTGTGGGGTTTTCAGGGTCAGAGAGGAGGAGAGGTGGTTTGCCGTTGCCTTCCTCTGCATAGCAATCCTGGTTTTCCTTGGTGATCTCCCATGACTATGGATGACCCTGCCTAGCTTCACAGTTCTAAGGAGCTTGGGTTAGCCTGGGCTTATTAGGTTGGTATAGCAAGGCAAAGCTAAGCTTAATGTTGGGTTAAAGTTAATGGCCACTCTTCTTGTCATTCTTGCTTCCAGCGTGTTGAGTTTCTTGCTCGGCTCCTGCAGCAGGAAGTTAATGGCGGCATTGACGAGGTGACCCCCTCACTGGAAGAACTACACAAACTGTTGTTGGTTCACTGCTCACCTGCTTTGGAGGCCCCCGAGCCTGACCTCGTCACCACGCCTTCACAAGATCCTACCCCAAAGCTTGGCGAGCAGACAGCTGTCTCTGTTGCTCCTGTAGCACCTATACCCGACACGACGTTCACCACTGCCAACTCACAGCCTGCCTGTTCTGTCCCCTCTCCATCCAGTGCCAACAATACAGGTAAGACTGGTTGGGTAGCCTGGCTTCCCTGTGCCCTACCAGAGTCACACGAGGGTGTAAGGGAAGGTGAGAGTGTTCTCCTCCATGGCCAGTGTGGAATGTAGCCCTGAATTCTCCTCCCCAAGAAGCTTTCTTGCTCTCTTTTCATGGTGGCAGAGAAGGGCTGAATACACTGCAATACTAGAAGAAGAAGAAGAAGTGTTGAATTCAGGGCTCTTTTTGTAGCAGGAGCTCCTTTGCATATTAGGCGACACACCCCTAATGTAGCCAATCCTCCAAGAGCTTACAGTAGCCCCTGGTTGAATTTATACCCCGCCCTTCACTCGGAGTCTCAGGGTGGCATACAATCTCCGTCCCTTCCTTTCCCCACAACAGACCCCGTGAGGTAGGTGGGGCTGAGAGAGCCACGACTAACCCAAGGTCATACCAGCAGCTGCATGTGGAGAAGTGGGGAATCAAACTCTGTTCTCCTGATTAGAGTTCGCCACTCTTAACCGCTACACCAAATTGGCTCTCAAGAGGTGCAGCTACTACCTAAATAAGGCTGCAGAGATGTCTAGGAGGAGCATTGGGCCTTCCTTGCAGGCAAGTATTATACACACATACATAACTCCAGTGATACAAAAAAGGTCCACCATCTTGGAGAGTGTGAAGTGGATGATTTTCCCACCTTACACCTTATGCAGTGTTTAACCTTCAGTCTGGGAGGTCCTGGATGCCTGCTCTACCTTGAAGTTCACTGGGTGGAAGCCCTGAGCCAGGTGGTTACCTCCTGTGTGGTTGAAATACTCAAGGGTTCGGGTCTTATAAGAAGGCAGTTTATTGAACAACATAGAATGCATAATCCACACTGTTGCATATAAAATTGTACTGTTGGTATACTTAAGAGATTTAGAAGCCCTAGTTTTGTTTAAGACCTGCAAATATATCCAGTGCTAGAGAGAGAGCTTGAGCTGCAAAGTGCTGCTGCATCTTATGATACCTAAGCAAATGTGTATCTTAGTTTTTGCCCTCTGAGAAGCAAGGAACAGTTGAAAATGGAAGTTTTGTAGTAAACAGAATTCATTTGGTCACAGTACGGAGGATTTGGATACTCAATTACACTGGTCTCCAACTGTTTCCACCTGTTTATTATCACACATCATGCATGCCTTTGTAATGGTGGTGGCGGGGAAACTAAGCGTTATCTTTGAAAACGTGCTGTATGTTTGCAGTTTGTTTTATTTGATTTTAACAAAAAATGTTTTAAAACTATTTTAAAGCCTCCATAAGCCATGAGGAAAGGCAATGTACAGATGTTTCGATAAATGTGTCTACTGTATACATATGAGCTAGCACCATCTAATGTGGTAGCTTGTCTTTCATAAAAATCCTCCTAATACTTCTTAGAAAGCACTTTGTGTGAGTAAGCATTTCACTAATTGCAATGGTGGTGGTGGGGAAACGAAGCATATCCTTGAAAATGGGCTATGTTTGCAGTTTGTTTTATATTTTAAAGCCTCCATAAACCATGAGGAAAGGCAATGTGCAGATGTTTCGATAAATGTGTCTACTGTATACATATGAGCTAGCACCATCTAATGTGGTATCTTGTCTTTCATAAAAATCCTCCTAATACTTCTTAGAAAGCACTTTGTGTGAGTAAGCATTTCACTAATTCCAGGAGAGCTTGTCTCATAGGGTTTTTCCCCCCCAATGTTCTCCAGCATGTTGGATTATTCCTGTAAGGCTGAGGAAGAGGCCCCCAGAAGGGAGGGGGGAGAGAACAGGACTGTATTTTCCCAGGTCATCCAGTGTAGAGCAAGGACTGCTAAGAATGTATGAGATGTACTTAGGGCAAACTGTATGTGCCTCTGACATCAGCACAGCTTGGCTTTCCATTGCGCAGAGTTCACACTTTGCCCTATTCTGCCCCTAGGATTTACTGCTGCCTCTTCCTCTTCATCTGTGGCCCATTTCAAGCAACGCCTGGAAAATCTGCTGGATGCGCCTCGTCGTTTCCACGAGGACTGCCTGAATGACGAATGTGCCTTCTATATGTCCCGCGTCACCACCTTCACCCAGCCTTCAGTGCCACGGTGCCAGGAGCCTGTTGCGAAACTGCTGGATGCTCAGGATGCTATGGTGAGCTGGAAGCATCTTTTAATGCTCTCTAGCCCTGTGCAACAATGGGGCTATGCTGCTCCAGCATGGGGAAGACTACAGGTGGATACAGGCAGCCACTTTCCAAGTAGTAACTCACTGTAATATGCCGTGGAGCCACTTGACAGAGCACTGGGAGTGGCTTAGCATTGGAGTGGCTTATTGAAGTGGCACATCTTGTTAGTTCTGGCCACTCGATGAATGAGTCCATTCAGAGCAATAGGCTGGCACTTCCTTAACACCTGAGCAGTCATTAGCCTGGGAAGTGTGGGGAAGAAATTCAAGCATGAACACCTTGGTTTTCTAGGCTAGATTTAGGGGCCTTTAACAGAATGGAGCTTTAATGCCAGCTGTGTAGTTATTGTGGGGACCTGCCAGCTTTCTCCTTTCATTCATAAAGTCACAGGTGGAAATATGGTTGCAGGTGGGTAGTGGGGTTTAGTAAACCGTATCAGAATAACAAAATTTAAGTCCAGTAGCTCCTTAAAGACAGACAAAACTTCCCAAAACTTTATTGTGAGCCAAAGCATGCTTCATCAGATATAAATAGGATGAAGATCCGTTATCCCTTTTAGCCAAGTCAGAAGGAGGGAGGCCCATTTGGAGTCAGGATGCACAGATAAAATGTAAAGCAAAATCAGCTTGGTTAGAGCTAGGAGATTTGCAGAGCTGGAGAACATAGAAAATTAGTATCTGTAATGGGATAAGAGTCCTATATCTCCTATTCAGCTGGTGTGGGGTGGGGTGTCCATTGTCCTGAACGACTTAACGAATTCTAGTTCAGCGATCTCACATTGTAATCTCCCTCTGAAGCTTCTCTGTGGGAGAACTGCCACTCTTAAATCAGCAATAGAATATCCTAGAAGATTAAAATTTTCTCCCACTAGAGAACATTTCAACATGTGCATGGGCATATGTTAGACTTAAGGTATTTAATTAGCGGGACAGTGTGTGCTTCGTCTTTAGACTTGGGTAGAAGATGGTGGAAGTACCATAGCAGATGAGGAGTAGACTCCTCCTTTAGCCCTGTGGTGGGTTTCAAGAAGGTAGACCCAGCAGCTTTGAGCACTTCCTCACAATGCCAGAAGCCCATGGTCTTTGACTGCATGCTCTTGGACAGCACATCCATACATGCGCCAGTGAGCCTCTCTTTTTTGCTAATATGCACACTCAATCACATGCCTTTTTTGCATGATAAAATCATGTTTGGAACTGCCATTCTGACAGCAAAAACTTGGCGTAGCTGAGTGCAGCATGGATATAAAAGCAGGTGCTGTCTTTGTCTTTCTTACCCTATGCCGCCATGAACTGGTTGCAGGTTAACAGAGTGGCTGTTGGTGGTGTGGGGCACTTGAGGTGGGGGAGTCAAAGGCCAGAGCTTGAGGACTGTTTTAATTGGCTCAGGTTAATCATGGAATGCTCTAAGTAAAAGAGGGAGGGCCAGAGCTTTGGGTGTGGTGCTTGGGCATCCTGCTTCAGTCTGTTGTGGGCCATCACCTCTTTAGGTATGCAGCGAGGAACGTATATCTGAACCAGTTAATTCTGTCTCCTCGCTTACTGCTTCTTCTCTCCCCCCACCAGCACTTTATCCCCATCTCTTCACCTCAGTCTCCCTTCACGGAAGCAGAGAGGTCTTTGCCTTTATGATGGTCTGAGTCCTTGACCACCTGGGACCACCAGCACCAAGGCGGCACACCGAAGTTCATCCGTGAAGCGCCTCCTTCGCCGACTTGACAGGTTGAAAGGTTCCCCCCCCCTACAGTTGTACTGCCCCTGGAATCTCTTTCTCACTTCCAACAAATCCCCCTGGGACTCCAAATCTCCGTGACTCGATTCCCTTTTTTGGGGCGGGAGAGCCGGGGACTCCTGAAACGCCTTCTCTTGTCTAAAAGCATTTAGTGTCTTGTAGAAAGGACAGTTGTTGGTTATGATGGGAAAGACTGCCCTTGGGGAGAGGAGGCAATACACTAATCCTGTTTTAACGGTGACATTGTAAAAAGATTTTTTTCCCAAAAGAGACAAATAAAAAATTTAACTGTTACCCAAAGAAATCGGTGCATTATTTGCTAATAAGAACAAAACTGAGTCGATGACCCATGTAGCTGATTGTTTCCTGGATTATTTGGCTACGATGGAGAGAGCCTTCGCTAACTTGCCACCGTCACAACTGAGCAGTGGTTTCTTCAACTCTTGTAAGTCCTGTCGGTCATTAAATTAATAAGAATCCATTGACTTGTCTCTTTGTTTTAATATGCCTCACCCTCTTCCTATAGGGCAGCCGTGGGCATTACCCCAGGAAAGAGGCTGTGCCTTTAAGCAGAAGGGCCGGAGCCCTATCCCTTGAGGACAGGGAGGAACTTGGTTGAGGCCCAGGAAGACAAGCAGGCAAGAGAATAAGAGTAAGGAGTTGAGCACACAGCCTGCAAGTCCTGGACTGGCAGTAAATTCAGCAAGGCTTTAGTTTTACTGTGAAGGAAGCAAGGAGCTGAGCTTAGTGGGGCACTGCCCCCCTTTTCCCTGCTTGGTTGGTTCAATTTGAACTTGCCCTTTCCCCCAAATGGACTAGCCAACCGCCCCTGCTTGGTTGGTTCAATTTGAACTTGCAGAAATGTGCCCTTTTTCTAATGGCACGGTGGCTCGGGGTAGTAGATGCTTGTTTTATGTCTTTCTCCACCCCTCAGCTTTGTGCACTCAAGACAAGTGCCTCACTTTGCCCTTGCCCTTGCTAGTGGCTCTGTTGCTTTCGTACGGGCAGCCGCTCCACACCTGTTAGAAACATGGGGAGACACTCAGTGGGAGTGGTTTGTTTCTCTGCTTCCATCTTGCTTCTGGAACAAAGGAACTCTGACCAGTGAGTGCCCTTGGCCCAAATTGCTTAGCAAGGTCTGATCTCCTTTCAAATATGCAGCTGCTCCATACATGTTAAAAACAGGTTCCAAGCTTATGTACCCAAAGGTTGGGGTTAAATCATGTGGGTTGCACATTCTGATACACACGTACTTTCTGTGTAGGACGTCCTTAAGGGCTGAGCATATTAAATGCCTCCTGGGACAAGTCCTTGTCCTGCAAGGGTGTGGGGTGCAGAGAGTTAGCCAGAAGGCCTACAGGCAGGACTCCAGGTGAGATTGCCTCATGTCAGGGCCGATTTTCTTCTGCTTGCAGCTGTCATGATGGATGCATAGTGATGAATGGTACACCTGTAGCCGTTCCATTCAGGTACACCCACCTAGCGTCATCTAACCTAAATGAGAATGAATGATTCTCTTTATTCCTCTCTGTGGGTACTGCAAAGGGATGGAAACCTTTGCCGCCGCCTTCCCACGCAGGCCTCCGGCTTCTAGACAAAAAGCCTGCTTGCTTTTCATCACTCAGCCAAGCGAAGCACCTTTTTTTGTTGGAGAAGGTCAGAAGCTGGACTCAAGCTAGCCAGCAACAGTGTGGGTCTAAGCTTGGTGGAATAAGTTTGCTGCAGCCTGTACCTGTTGCTGATGAACCAGACTCTGGAGGGGCAAGACCTAAAGGGTAGGAATGGCCTGTCCTCCCATCCGGATTGCTGCTTCAAGGGTTTCAAAAGACACGTTTGAGAGCCTAAGAAATGGAGGTCTTGCATGGGGCAGAGTAATGGAGTCTTTGTAAAGCATGAAAATTCCTTTTTTTTGTTCATAGGTACGGGGTATATCCTTTTTTATGAATAACTGTGAATGAGAAACAATTCCTCAAAATGCAAGCGTCCAGTATCACCTTAAAGACTAACAAAATTTGTGGCAGGGCCTGAGCTTTCATGAGTTGCTGCTCACTTCTTCAGATACAGCTAGAATGTGAGTCCATCTGTCCTTATATCTTGGGAGAGTGGAGTGATTTCAGACGCCGAATGGCAATAGCAGGCACAGTTGGATTAGGTGTGATATGCAGAGGGGTAGTAGGTGTGGAGAAATCAGCACTGGTAATGAGACAGGAAACCTAGGCCTCTATTCAGTCCAGGAGACTGCATGTCTTGAGCCTCATTATAAGTTGCAATTCAGCAGTCTCGCTAATCTCCCTTTGAAATGCCTTCGTAAGAGAACTGCTACTCTTCGGTCAGCAACTGAATACCCTGGAAGGTTAAAATGTTCCCGCACAGGTTTTTGAATGTTGTTTATAATGTCAGACTTATGTCCATTCATTCTTTGTCAAAGGGACTGGCCTGTTTGTCCAGTGTAGAGGGTGGAAGGGCATTGCTGACACGTGATGGCATAAATCACATTAGAGGATGAGCAGGAGTATGAACCTGAGATGGTACGTCTGATATTGCTGGGTCCAGTGATGGTATTGCTAGGATCTATGTGAGAAGAAAGTTGGCGTCTTGATTTGTTGCCGGCCTTGGTACTAGTCCATGTTACTGTTAAGTAGTTTATAATTGCTGGTGAAGAGTTGTTTTAGGTTAGCAGGCTGTCTGTAAGCAAGAAAAGGTTGCCCCCCCCCAGTGCCTGTGTGAGGAACGTGTCATTATCCAGCATGGGTTGTAGGTCATTAATAATGCACTGAACTGACTTGACTTGTAAGCTGTAGGTGACCACCAGTGGTGTTCTGTTGTTGTTTTCTTTGGGCTTGTCTTATAACAAGCTCTCCCTGAGTTTCATTCTGGCCTTTCCAATCATCTTTCTCACCATACCAGGAGGATATTGTAGTTGCAAAAATGCCTGCTGTAGATCCTTCAAGTGCGTATAGACAAAGGATTGTTTGGTGGGTTGGGGTGGTAGCTGGAGGCATGTATATATGTTTGCTGATCTGTTGGTTTCTGGTTTAATGTGGTACTTATGTGTCCCTCGTGTATCCATACTGTGGTGTCCAGGAAACTTATTTCTTGTGTAGAGTAGTTCATAGCTACTTTGATGGTGGGGTGGAAGTTGTTGAAAGCCTGGTGAAATCTCTCGAGGTCTTCTTTGCTGTGGGTCCAGACAATGGAACTGTCATCAATGAATCTCAAGTAAAGGAGAGGTGCCAATGGGCAGGAGTTCAGAAAACGCTGTTCTACATCTGCTATGAAAATGTTGGCGTACCATGTGGAGCCGTGCAGATGTCCATGGCTGTGCCATTGAGTGTCACCAAACCTGGAGTAATTGTGGGTGAGAATAGACATGACAGAATTCAGTGGCAAGACTGGCTGTGATGTTGTCAGGGATGGTGTTTCTAATGCCTTGTAGTCCATCCTTATGGACTACAAGACCTAGGTTTCCACGACCTTCCAATACCGGCGGAGGAACATTTTAACCTTTCGTGACACTCAGTTGCTGACCTAAGAGTAGTAGTTTTCTTACAAAGGCATTTCAAGATTAGAAAGAGCCTGCTGAATTGCAACTGATAACGAAGCTCGAGACATGTGTTCTCCTGGACTGAATCGAGGGGTCCAGGAGGGTCAAGAACAGCTCCCCATGATGTGAGGGGAGGTGGCAGTGGGTGGCTTCCCCACCCTAGGAGACCAAAAATCCTTGTGCTGACCCGGGTTATGTCTATTGCCTTATCCCTCTCTAGCCTTTGGAAAGAGGAAGAGGGGTGAAATTATATGTGCACATAGTGTTTGACCTTCTGGACCTGTATGGTCTGCACCAGTGTTCCCTCTAAGCTGAGTTAGTGTGAGCTAGCTCACAGTTTTTTAGCCTCCGGCTCACACATTTTTGCCTTAGCTCAGGAAGGATGGCTCCAGAGCAAACTAATTTATGCAGTAGCCGAATTGCTCGCTCACAACTTTAATGCCAGTAGCTCACAAACTAGAATTTTGGCTCACAAGACTCCATGGCTCAGAGGGAGCATTGGTCTGGACCACAGCTTCCCTGCAGAAGGAGCAAGAAATACAAACGTCTGAGCTAAGCACATGGGCAGGGAAGATGGGAAGCTTGCCACTCTACTGGCTTAGTCAGTGTCAGGAAAACACATCCCATCCTTTCCATGTTCTACCCCACTTATATTTTCTTGGAGCACAAGTCTGTGACACTCGCTGCGGCAGTTCCTGTAGGCAGGCTGAGGGGGAGTTAAATATCCCTCTGCACATTTCTACGTTTCTGTCATGGTGGTACTTTCTGTTCCAAAAGAGTGGAATCGGTTCTGCAGAAACACAGGTAGTAACAGCACCCCCAGCCTGCCTCTTTAGCTAACAAGATGCTAAGTAAAATGTTAGTACTCCACTTTTCTTACTGTCTGTGGTGGTCCCAGGCACTACCTGCACATAATGTGTAAACTGACTCTGTCCAAAGAACACTTCTGTAAAACTTGAAATAATCACACTGGTTTGTTTATTTATAAAACTTTTACCCCGCCTTTTTACCTTTACAAGGGCTGCCAAGGCGGCTAGTAATTTAAAAGATACATAATAAAACCATTATAATAAAAACGTGTGTCATTAAGAACTTTTAAAAAACAGGTGTCTTTTAAAAATCCATAGAAAACATAACATGGGTTAGGAAGGTGGGATCACTGAGGGAATGCCAGACAAAACAAAGAAGTCTTCACTCGCTGGAGGAATATGGCAATAGAAGGCACAGAGGAATCTTTCTGGGGAGAGAGAGTTCCAGAGTTTTCTGCAGCAATGGGAATGGTGTCCGTCACGAAACCAATTGGAAATCCGTGGAAGTAGCTTTTACGGAGCTGACAGGCATGCTGGACAAAGTTTCCTGGGTTTTAGGTGATTGTAACAGTCGCTGGTGGAGCTGCGGTGGCTCAAGTGGTTAAGACGCTGAACTTCAGGCTGTGGAAGGTTGGTAGTTCAGCAGTTCGAGACCCGCGTTGCCGCATGACGGAGTGAGCTCCCGTCTCTAGTTCCAGCTCCTGCCAACCTAGCAGTTCGAAAGCAAGACATTGCAAGTAGATAAATAGGTACCACTTCGGTGGGAAGGT